ATTTTATACACAGTAGTTTTTGAAGAATAAAATATATAAATATGTTGAATAACATTAAATATGATTAATTTTTTGGTTTGATACGAAATCAATGCCTGTACTTTAGACACAAAATTATTAAAATTGTGAACATTTGTGACTGTTATCCAGATTTCTCCTAAAATTGACATTCTTTAACCTTCCAATATTGGATTTTGTCCTATGTATTAATGATTATAAAGATAATACATAACTTTTTTAATGTTTATTAGTCATTAATTGTTTTAAGAAGATGAAAATTATCTCTCTTGAAGATATAGAATCATAAAATCCCCTGCGTGATTTTATTGCTTCTCACAAATATTAAAATTAAAAAATATATCATTTCATAAAATTTTAGAAGTGGAATATTGTAATCTTGATAAAATTAATTATCAAGATTGTGTTGAGAATTGTTTTTAAAAAATTACACTCAATATCTTGAAATGAATAATTTTAATTATTAGGCTTAGAAATTCTTGCATAAATATGCATATTTCACAATAAAACTTGTATATATATATATATATATATATGTGTGTGTGTGTGTGTGTGTGTTAATAATGATCAATCTCTTGAAATCATGTACAAGATTTACCAAGAGTTAGTTCCTTAATCTTAAAAAACTTAGATTTATGTGTAAGTATATTCAGATGTTTAGGTTCACTTATCATCAAGAAATTTCCAATTTACAACTTACAATGTTGCATACAAATCCATGAAAGTTTTGAAAAGAACACAGTCTCAATTAATTAATTTTATTAAGAGGTATTGTTCCATTACATATTGTCTTTGATCACATTTTAGTTTTTGTCTTTTTCTTTTTTTCTTTTTTTCCCCTCTTATTCTACAGTTTTAGCAAATATCTAACTCAGCTAATAAAAAACAAAAACACAAACAAAGAGAAGACAATGCTGTGCTCAAAGCAGAAGATGGTTGGATATCAAAAGAGATTGATAACAAAGAGGCACATGTTTGTTTCTTATCTTTTCATCAAATATTTAATGGATCTCCATTTGTAGAGATTTCAACACTGAATTGAACGAAGTGTGAAACCAACCTTAAAATGTAGTCAATCTAATAGCCATGTATACAATTCCACACTCATTGATGACAACAAAAAAGGCATTTTTTGGCTAGTGATTGTATGATGATTTCATAGCTTACTTTCTCCATGTTGTTCTCTCTCTCTCTCTCTCTCTCTCTCTTTTATTGTATGTGCTGGTGAGCAATTATTTCATGGTGGCAATGAGTTCATTCATTCATTTTCTCATTCATTCAAAGGACTATATTGGTTATGTTGGCAATGTGAAATATGGATTTTATTTGTGTTTTGTGTTTATTTGATGTTATTGTTTGTTTGTTTGTTTGTTTGTTTGTTGATGAGGGAGAGTCTTTTTGTTCACTACACTTGAAGAGGTGGGAAATAGAAATGGGGGCCACAGGTGGGCTCTTTCTCAACCATTATTTCCCACTCTTTGCCAACTTTTGTCAGTTTGTGTGGGTAACATGATAGACTGATTGATTGATTGCATGGTTTGCATGGTTTGCATGGTTTTGTGTGACCTAATTCACACCACATTGACACGCATACAAACATTAAAACATATATATATATATATATATATAAGCAATGCTCTTGCTGTCTCTTTTGCTAAGCCCCTATTCCCTTGGTTGTTGTTGCAAGCCCATATGCTTGTATCCTTTGCATAATACAAATCCACATTATGAGTGACACTTTGACATGGGTCTCCAAAAAGAACTACTTATATCATTCTAAAGCTTCTTTTTTTTTTCCATGAAAAAGCTCATGCAATGGATAATGATGTAGTCTATGCAAGAGCTTTGGTGCAGCAGGGGACCAACAACAGTGAGCCAAACCTACAATCACCACACAAATACTGCAAAATAGAAACAAAGGAATGTATAGATCAGTGGAAGGTTCCAATGAATGGGAGGCAACAGAAAAAGAATGATGCTGGTCCCCCATCATCGTAATTCGCTCTTTTGTTGCCTTACCAAGCATTTGTGGAATGCCAGATGGGCCATTCATTTCCATCTAAATACATCATTTGCCACATCTTCAAACAAATTTGAGCAGTTTTGGGTGCTGCCCTTAAAGACCCAGCTACTTTTGCTGTTTGAATAGGATAGCATATAAGTCAGTCGTCATGAAATAAAAAAATGACTTCTAGATTCATTTCTCCATTACTAGATCCAAATTCAATGAAATCCAACCACATTCATTATCAGTATGTCGATTTAGTAAATACCTAAGTCTATTTAACATTCCCTACTATATATACATACTCGTGACTATTAATGGTAATTTTCTTGGGTTTTATAAAACTTTTTATTTTATTTTATATGTATGTTGTGGGTTTCTGCGAATAAATAGGATGAAGAAAACAATTGACGGTATTTTTAGTATTTTTATTCCTATTGATGTAAAATATTGAGTAGCTTTGAGAACATCCTATTTTGAGGAGAATAAGACAAAGTGGTTTGTTTTTACTGTTCTTGAATGGCCTTTTTTTTTTTTTTTTTTTTTTTTTTTTTTTTGGTTTGAAAAGCCCATCGACTGTTCCTTGCACGCTTTTTCACTTTGATATAATTTTAAAATAATAAATCCAACAGATTCCAATCAGTCATACATGATCAAACTGTGACGTTTAAGTTCACTTTAACTTTTTTTAAAAAAAAATTGTAATTATTGATGACGAGGGTATTTTTTTTTGGATTCAATTAATCTTTCAATTAGGAAAAGAATCCATAAAACTTTAGTCCTAAAAATTCAGCTAAATTTCCTGCAACATCCTGTTGCATATTCTGTTTCAATATCCTGTTGCAGTATACTATTTGCCTACACTCAAAGACCTCAATTAAAGGGCTTTCACAGAATGGTCACAATCATTCACATGATCCATCTCAATACGTAATAAAAAAATAAAAAACAAAAAACAGAAAGTGCATACAGCATTTGGGGATCACTCTTTTTCTCAGAATGGTCTCATGGCCATCACACAATGTGGGCCTCCATTTAACCTTTACTAAATTTGATCAGTTATGCCACCCATGACAAGTCCCCAATTGCACAATAAAAATGCGTATAACAAGGCAGTCAACTGAGCAATTTTTGAATCTCTGCATCAATTCATTGCATAAACACAATCTTTCTTTCATTAGCTGTAAAACATTATACCAAAATTTCAACTGTATGACTATATAAACCTTGTCAAAGTTGCCATTCACTCTTGTCCTCCTCCTCTTCTTTATGACTATGTATCCAATGAAAACTGTGACATTATAATATATATAACACGCATGGTACCTATTGTGGATCTTTTAGGCTTTTCATTGAGTTGGTATTGTAAGTTGTGTGCTATTAACTGAGAAATGTACTGTACATTAAACTTGGTTATTTTTGTTTCTATTGTTTGTTTTTATTTTTTGAAGGGTGGTGGGAGAGGGGGGGGGGGTGGGTTTATTTCAAACATGAAGAATTAAGAAGATTGAAGCAGTTGGGATTGATGATATCCTTGCAGATATGCGATAGAACTCAGAGATCAAAGTACTGGGATCTGATCAATTTTCTTGGTGCTGCTGGAAGAAGAAGAAAAAACTGTTTGGTGCTGCGGTTGCAAGGACGCATCAGATGCTTCGGTGAATTGGTGGTAATTAACCCCCTTTCTAGCACTCACTCACTCACCCTCTCTTTCGTTCCCAATCCTTGCCCTTCTTGTCTTTAATGGATCATGGTGGTTTTTTAAAAAAAGATTGAAAAAATAGAATGTAAAAACACTACACGTTCTGCATTGTTTTCGGCAGGTTTAGGAAGAATCCATAAAACCTTCCAGGAGAGACACACACACAGACATGTATATATATAATCACACACGCATAGATACATATAAGTAAGTTTGTAGAAAAAGTGGCGGCAACTAGACTGAAGCAAGTTGAATGCAGACCTAGAGTGATGCAGAAAAAAAAAAAAATATTGAAGCGGGGGAAGCGCCACAAAATAAATCCAGTATTCTGCAGATTTGTAACAGTGATTCATTTTTTTTTCTTTTTCTTTCTTTCTTTATTTGGTGGTGCATGTTTTTTTGTAAGTTCTCTGCAGGAAAGTGCTGAAGACATGGCAGGAGCCTGGTATCCCCGGCGGCACAAGGCGTCGCATGGAAACGGCACCAAAACGCAATTCTAGCGGCTGCGAACAATGCAAATGTTTTTTCCACCTAAAATGTGCCGATATGAAGACGACGCCGGATGACCTGAGGAGGAGATGCCCAGACAAATCTATCCACGAGGGCGGCACCCCTCGCGGCGGACCCAGTTGGACCTCGATGCCAGATCTTCCACACCTCCACAGCCCAAGCTGATGTCACCCCTTGCGTTGATTGCCTTGCGACGTGGACTGGACATTGCTGGGGCCTTCGTGACGCCATTGGTATCGGCACACAACCCGACTGTGAGGTATACCAATTTACAACCGCAAAATCTACGCTAGTAAAAAAGATAGGAGAAAAACAGAAAATAACAGTAATATGAACATTAAAACAAAACAAAAAAACAAAAAATACAGGTTGCCTTGACTTCACTCGGGACATTGAAATGAAGGCCAACACTGCGAGGGGACCGCGTGCAGCGCATCTCCAGGAGACGCAGTTTATGCAAAATTCATGAGAGAAATGTTTCAGTTCATAATTCAGATATTATACTTTTTTTTTTTTTTTTTTTTTTTTTTTTTGGAGTTAAATGTGTTGTTGGTAATGCAAGGGAATACTTGGAAAAGGAGGGTGCTGCATTGATGAGGTGTGGTGAGGGCAAGCGGGGGTCAGGAGGGTCACGTGGCGAGAGTAAACGGGAGGTGGGGTGGGGGGGGGGGGTTGCTCTTGGGGAGCGAGACTTACACTCTAGCAATGATCGCATGATGGAGGGTGTGTCGTAGCATAGGAGGCGAGGATCCATGAAGCCATGAAGGGGTTGCAAAGGGTAGGTCAAATGGGGGCATACAGATCTCTAGGGGGGAGCCAGTTCTAGGGACGGAGGGACGGAGGGGAAGGGAAAGTTGTTGGAGGTAGTGAGAGAGCGGAAGAGCGGTCGTGGCGTCGCTGGGTTATATAGCGTCTAGAGCGTTCATTTGTTTATGGTTGTCATTTTGGTCGTCGACATCAGGCGAGAATGTTGTACAACGCAGAGGCACAAATCACCAGCACACAATTTGTTGAATTCCGAAGTTTGTGACGTCGTGTGTGTGCTGGGCGCGCGGCGCTTGTCGATGAGACTGGCTGTAGTTAAGTGGTATTCTCGACGTAACTGTAGGTATCCGCGAACTTGCTCGGATCGTGACTAGTTCAGCGTGTTCATCTGTGAGAGTTGCAAGCAGTCTTGCTAAGGCCCCGCGCCTCGCTCGGGCGCACTGTGAAGGTTGGCCTGAATGTCTAATAGTTGGTTGCCTCGTGCTCGTTGGGCTCTTCCTTCAGCTCCAGTGGTCTCACTCTTTCGCGTACACTTACCGAAAGCGCTCGACCAGCTCGCTGCCCCTCTATTCTCGGGATTTATAACCCTACGCAGCCTGCAGTTTAACGCCGTCTTGGTTAGTTGTTCCTTGTGGTAGGTCATCCGGGCTGGTTGATCCACTGATCACTTGAACCAACACGTCTTTGTTTCCAGGCTTGTGGTGCTTCGAGGTCGTGTTCGCCATCCCGCCGAAGGTGTCTGGTGATAGGTGTACACTGTCTCTTGCAGTTCATCCTAGTCAGGCTGCAGTGGTCTCCAAGTTTGTGTAGTAACGGAGTTCTCTTCACTGCTTCTGTTTATCTCTCACAGTGCACAGGGTTCAAAGAATAGACCATTGACCTCTTCGCACTTATATAACTTAATTGTATCTTCAACTAGGAAAGAACCTCCCTCAAGATACTCTCTGACTGGAGAAAACCAAGTGCTTGTTAACGATGACGAGACTGTTGAAATCAAACGAAGACGTTCGTAAAGGTGCGTGGGCTGCTGAGGAAGATGAAAAACTTCGTAAATATGTGGAAACCTACGGGACTGGCCACTGGCGCAGCGTTGGAAAGAAAGCAGGTATTTTGCTGGGTTGATTATCACCTTCCTCCCACAAGTCGTTTATTAATAAAAATATCTTGAAGGGTTGAGCATTCTTCGTGGGTACCTTGGACTCGACAGTGCGTAACACCAAACCCCAGCTGGAAGATTGGTTGTTGAGAGACGGGTTGCACAAGCCACACTATCTAGAGCGCACTCGTGATGCGTGTTTTGACTAGTCTCAATTTTATCGCGGTTGGGGTCTATTGAGCATTGCTGAACTTCAACCTTCGGACACCTCGATGCCCCCTCACACTCCCATGTCGAGATTGCTCATAGACTTCGTGGTTTGGGATTAAAATCGTCATGATCTGCCTTTCTCGGAACTCCTGTGATCAAATTTTTGCAACTAAACCCTTGCACACAGCCATATAGCTATTGGGACTTCGGAAGGACTGCAACTTCGATTGATAACCTTGATACACTCATGCAGGTCTGCAACGATGTGGGAAGAGCTGCCGTTTGCGCTGGACTAACTATTTACGACCTGACATCAGGCATGGTAGTTTCACCCAAGAGGAAGAGAATCTCATCGTAAAGCTACATGCAGCTCATGGAAGCAGGTAAATTAGCTGAATTTAGATGGAACCTTCGAGTTGATTCCCTACTTGTCATGAAGTTCATAGGTATTTGAGGGGCTTGGTAAATTAGATGAGTTATTAAACCTACAGTGTTTCAAGGGTGCCTTGAAGTTGATCTGACAAGTCACTCCTGAAAACTGGAGAGAAGAGATGTTTATCTGAGAAGTGACCGTCCATGCAGATGGTCTCTCATTGCTGCACAGATGCCTGGTAGAACTGATAATGACATCAAGAACCATTGGAACACACGGTTGAAGAAGAAACTTTGCGATTTGGGCATCGATCCGGTCACACACAAGCCAATCGCGGATTTACTCAGGGATCTAGCTGGCACTATAGCTAACTCTTCTGGGACAGGGAATCAGGTGCATCGTCGTCACCAGTGTTATTGGCACCCTTCGTTCCTTTCCACTTCCGAATTTTGGAGTAGCTCTTCCATGTCTTGTTGTACTTGTAGCTAGGTCTGACTGGTCATCGTGTAGTCTTCTCAGGTAGCGGAGGAAGCGGCGCGGAGGTGCTTTCGAGATAATCTGGTCAGCAAAGCTGTTCGAGAATGCGGAAAAGCCAAACCCGCACTTGCGTCTCAGTACATGCTTCACAAGTCTTTGAACGATGTGCATCGTCGCGATGTCCAAGGCACAGAAGACCTCACCATGTCGGAACTCCACGCCGGTGACATAGTTCAGAAAAGTTCCAATAACTCCGGTTCGCACAGCATGGACGAGAGCAGCAGTACCGAGGAGGCTCTCTCAAGACGATCAAACAGCCCGCCAGATTCCATCGACTTTGAGCATTTAAACCAACACAGGTATCAGGCTTCCACTGGGGATCATCACCAGAGCGATATTGAACAAAGGACAGCAGGCACTGTAGTTGAAAGTTCCTGCGGTCGTATTGCCTACCTTTCCTTGGCTCAGATGAACGAAGCGAACATGTCTGGATTCATGGGTGCCCGCTCCAGTGCTCTCCCATCATTCCAAGAGGTGGACCAGGTTGGGTGCTCGTTGCCAGCGTCGTCACTACCGAATGCTGGGTCAGATCAGTTCGACTATCGCAACACGGATTTCGGAAAGGTAATTAATGTTTTCCGATCAAACGCGCCCATCTCTGATTCACCAACAAGACCGGTGGTTCAACAAAGGGCCGATGGCACGCGCTGGTCAGCTTCGAGGAGCGCACTTTCACAGGATGCACATTTACCGATTTCTCCCAGTTGCGCCGCTTCGCAACTGCCGCTCAGCCGGTTCAGTTCCGAAGTGCACAATCAGCTCGCTCAAAGCCACGCTGAAGTTTCCTACATGCAGGGATCAGATTTGTCGAGACCCCAGTCAACATCAGCGCCGAGTAAGTTGGATGTGAGGATCAATCTCGGATACAATCAACAGAGACCTCTGCCAGAAAGTTTCGGCTACAGGAACTTCAGTGGGCCATCCACAACGTCATCGACTAGCACCCCTGGTTCTGTTCTGGACATGACAACCCAGCAGACGTTGCCAGGGTACGGTGGACAGTACTCTAGCTCGAGCAGTGCTACCAACGCGAATCATACTAGTTTCAATAGTCCCTTGGCTGGGACACCTACAGGATTGCGTCTGCATGAATGCGAAGTGCCGAGTCCAAGGATGGTGTTATGGGATTTTCAGGAGTAAGATTTTTGGCCAATGATAGTAATGACCTTATAGAAGTTTGTCCGTGGCGATCAGGCTTTCCCCAAACGTGAACTATCTCGGGGAAGTTCAACGCTGCAGCATTGGCATGAGCACTTGTTCACCAAAAGGCTTCCAATTAAACCACAAGTTGTTAGATCAGGAGGCATTTTACATATGTAAACGTTGGAGACTCCCAAACATTCATCATTCCTCATCACTCTCAGATTCGGATTGGATAATACACTGTGCTCTTCTACCAGTTGGCGTTAGGTTTTCTCCAGCCAGCTGGTCTGTCAGTTCTTTCGTTCATAGAATTTGAGAAATACGAGATAAACGATCATTTCTCTTGGTTTCTTGCTGCTGTGTATCTATAATCGCGCAAGTCTCGATTAGAGGGCTTCTCATTACACAGTAACATGTTCTCAGTGAATGTCCAAAACGTTCCAGTTGAATAGAATGAGGGACTACGGCGATATATTCATTTGTTCTGGAGTCGAATGCGACAAAGTCACAGCTGGTTTATTCCAAGCGACCGTTACACTGTGCATCTCCAGACAGACTTGGGCACTTAAAATGGTTCCATAGTTTCACTGTTTTGCATTCCCTGCACTTAAGAAGATTAACTTTGTCTACTTAATGGCCATAGTCATTTCCTATCTCGCTGATCCAAACGCTCTAACCAATCAGCTTACCTTAACCAATTATGAAGTTCTTCTATCCTTAGGTGCAGATGATACAGAAGGTCCAGTAATGCTTTTTCAAGTGTTACAAATCAGAAAGCATCTATATATCTATATATGTGTATATGTATATATGTATATATATACATAAATTAAATTTAAAAAAGGAAAATTTAAATTTAACATCAACTTCTTGGCACACACCTCTTGAACCAAGAAGTGTCCCCCCCCCATTTTGCAATGATTCCTTGCATTTGAACTTGTATGTGTATACACATGTTTATACATCAATAAAGTATTTTTTTATTAAAAGGAAATATAATAAAATATGATATTGCGAATATTTAACTAATTTTGAGAGAGCATGATAGCATTTTCCTAAATATATAGGCATTTAAAAATTGTAATTCTTTCAATGAAATTTTTATGAATTTTCAAATTCTGAAAATATATTATCAAAGATAAATTACTCTGCAAATTACTCTAGTTTTGTTGCAGACCACTTATTGATTTTTAAGGTACTTTATTTAATGCTGTAATGTTTTAAGTTTTAAAGAAAAAAAAAACGATATTCAAAAAAAATCTTAAGTTTCCATTATTTTTGCAAAAATGGCCAAAAAAACGAATAAAAGAAGTTATACACTTGTCACAAGGTAGAAACTTTAGCATGTATTATCAGACCACAAAATCAATTAGTGGTGTTCTGAAAGTATGAAATTAACAGATATTTTTATTCAACTATTACCAAGCTAGCCAATGTAATTAAAAAATCAATATCTTAAAGTGTTTTTAATGGTACACAATACAAATGTGGGTGTTGATTAGATTTTTAATTTTTTTTATTCTGTACATAATTTTCTTGTTAAATACATAGAAATTTTAACAAATAAAAAATTCAAACTCTTACTCTAACATCAACCCTGATTTCAATACATTTAATAATTAACCCTAAACCCTAAACCTGATCTTGTTTATTCACATGTAATAAAACAATCCTTGGTATTAAAATCAATCTCTTCACTACAATGTTGAGATGGACAAGTTCAGCTTTAAAGTGCCTTCCATGACGTATACTACTACCACCCATGAACTAAGATAGTTGTATGTAGTTTTACAGCCCTTTCTGAAGGTGGGTTTTCAACAGCGTTTTGGATACTGATTGCAATTGCCTGGTTCACTGATGTCTGCACCCCAACTGAATATACAAACAAGGCGCTTTTTGTCTTCTCAAGGCCTGTGTGTGTTTCTTTTCTAAGATTTAGATCTGAATATAAATTTAATTATATGAATATTAAAAATAAAAATAAGAATATTAAATATTCATTTATGAGTGTAAAAATTATACTAAATAAGGGGATTCAAACTTAATATTTTTTGGATAACCAAATATTACATATTTTTGGTTTTTGGGAACTCAAATATAACAAATCATTCAAAATATCACCTCTCCAAATATCACCATTTAAACTTTATTATCCCTTTCAAGTTTTTGAAGTATCACTTGATATTTTGGTGATTTAGAAAATTTATGATAGTTATGACTGAGGGAAGACAGTTAAGGCAAGAGAAGAAGTTTGTGATATTTCAACATCCCTCTTGTAATATTTAGGTTTCAAAATCACCTACCTTATAAGGTGGGTGATTTTGGATTATCAAGTGATATTTTGAAATATCATGTAATACTTTGAGATATCATCACAGATAAAATATTGTCCAAAAAACCTTAAGTTTGAATCTCTTAATATGTGATGTTTGAATATGTAATTTTAATATTATTAAAAATATTGAAAAATTTTAATTAATCTCTTAAAAAATAATAGATATTTTTTTCAAAATAAATTATATATATATATATATATTTATAAATTAAAATATCCATATTTTTCTTAGCTAATACAAGTTAAAAATAATATGTAGATATGGTCTCTATTTTCTTTAAGTATTGTCACCTTATTGATCTTTTTTTCTTTTTTGATTGATGTAAAAATAAACAATTCATATTGACAAAAACAACATTAAATCTAATAAAATCATAATTTTTTTTAGAAATTATAACTAATTTTTTTATTAATTCTTTAGATTTTATTATTATTATTATTATTATTATTATTAATTTAATATTAAAATTTATAAAAAATAAAAAATAAATATAAAAAGATTAAAAGATATAAAGATATAATATTAAAATTAGTTTCAAATAAAAAATATTTAAAAATTATATAAAAAATTTATTTGATTTTATTCAAAATATTTGTAATATTTTATATATGTGATTGTTTATAGCTATTTATAATTTATAATTTGGTATATTTAAATAAGAATTTTAATTTTATTATTTCTTTTAGTATTTTTTTTAAAATAATTTATAAGTATTCAAGTAAAAAGAAGTTTTATTTATTTATTTTTATTTTTTTTAAATTATAGATTAATAACATTAAAATTGTGGTAGGAATTATTTTAGAAGGCAAATACAACCAAATACAATTACATCATTGTATTATATAAAAATTAGCTGAGGAATGAATTAGGTATCTATCTTTAGAAAGATTTGATTTTATCTTGAAGTTAGATTTACTACCTAATAAAATAAAATACATAAGATGTTTAAAAATCTCTTCTTATCAATCTTGAAGAATCTAAAAAATCTTATCACACTCTTATTAATTTTAAATAAACCTCAAACAATCTCAAAAAAATCTTAATTAGATCCTAAAAAAATTATAAGAAATCTTTAAAAAATCATAAGAAATCTTTAAAAAATTATAAAGAAATCCTAAATAAATTTTAATTTAATTAAAATAAATTATTAATTAATTTTTAATTAAATTCTAATCAAATTTTTATTAGATTCTTAAAGATTCTTAATAAATTTTTAATAGAATCTTAAAATTTCTAACTAAATTTTAAGTAAATTCTGACAAACTTTAGTCAAATTCTTAATAAATTCTACAATAAATTCTACAATAAATTATTCAAAATCATAGATATTTTTGCTAATCTTCAAAATCTAATTTTTGAGAATTTAATTCAATTGAATTTCAAATACTATGTATTTGATTTTCCAATCACGCTTAAATATACAAAATACATCTAGCACAACTTATCAGGAACATGAATTTTAAAGAAAGGGAATCTTCAATACACTCTTGTGTCTTTGAAGAAAACTAGAGAGTCATTCAAAAGGTAATGTAATATTAACTAGAATGGCTATTGCCAAAAATAAGAATACTAGAAAGTCTTGAAACAAGACTAATGACTAGAATGGCATTGCCAAGAGTAAAGAAGGCTTCACTCTTGCCTCCATATATACTCTTAACTAGGAGCTACATGGCAATGTCCCATAGAACCTCCAAAACATGTTGACTTTGCTAGCCACATGTCTTAACTTGCAAGGCAAGTTATCTATGTATGCACCACATGGTTAGCTTGTTCCACAAGCTACCAATACGTGGTTAACTTGTTTGCCAAGTTTTCAACCTACAAACACATCTAAAGTCAAAATCGCATCTATAAAGCTTCTAGGAAGCTTTTCTAAAAGACTTTATGAAATTAATCTATACTTACTTACTTCTACCTAATCATATAAGTAATTATTGAGGTAAATATATATGTTCGTGACACAACTATTTTCACAAATTGAAAAAAATTCACTTATAGATTTACTATAAACCTCATACAATTCTTCATTATTTTATTTTATTTTATTTTATTTTTTCAATACAAAACAAAGTCATCTAAAACAACCATAACTTTATAAAGCTCTTATATAATTGTTATACACTCAAATCCCTCAAAACTAATGCTCAAAAATCTTATCAATTTTGCTCTCAAATTTTGCTATGTGAAAAATAATAAAAATCCCATTAATAGTCATTATAGTATTTTACGGATTTAATTAAAAATTTAAAAATTCCTTTGTATTTTAGTATAAAATATCTTTATTTTTATTTATTTTTATTTTATTTTACATCCTTATACATTAATTTTTTTGTTATGTATATTGAAAAAATCTAATTACATAGCAAAAATACCTAAAATGACTGTAAATCTATTAGTTGATGAGTTTTTGAATTATCTAAATCTTTTAAATTACATTTTTATATTTATTACATTAAAAAAATCAAATTATATATTTTTCAATACAACCATTAGTGAATATAGGAGGACACAGTTTGCTTCAGAAAGGGATGAGTTGATTCCACGTAATTTGAAGATAAGTAATATGAATTTTTATTTTTTGTAAAATAAAATAAAATCATTTTCATTTTGATTTTTGAAAATAATTAACTAATAATTGTACTAGAAACTCCTCGTTTGATTAAATTTGATTTTTTTCTTTTTGTAAAAGAAGAATTTTAAATCAATTTATTTAGATATATTAAATTGTGTAAAGGGTAATAATAATAATAATAATAAAACATTCTTACAATTTTTTTTTAGATATTCCAAATCTCTGAAATATGCATTGTCAATAGTAATATAATATCCTCCATGTCTCACAACCATTAAAACCCCAAGCATCCATTAACTGTTATATTTTTTTAGTTTCATCCACATTTTCGAATGAGCTTCATATCTCAATAGGTACAAACTTGGACTAAATAACAATGATAACAATAAAACACTTCTCTCTTCTACCACTAACATTTAACAAGAAATAATGACAAGCATCGCCAGGGATGACATGTTTGCACTTTGTGCCACAAAACCATGGCACAAAGTATAACATGATCCAGCAATGATTACAATATGTTCAAAATTACATTCAGAATTTGTTGAAGCCAGAGACACCTATTGTATC